TACCAGTCGGTGATGCAACCGGTCAGGATGCTCTCGATGGTGCAGCTGTATAACTTTTTGAGGATCTGGGGACCCATGCCAAATCTTTTCAGTCTCCTGAGGGGTAAAAGGTGTTGTCATGCCCTCTTCACGACTGTCTTGGTGTGTTTGGACCATGATAGTTTGTTGGTGATGTGGACACCAAGGAACTTGAAACTCTCAACCTACTTCACTACAGCCCCATCGATGTGAATGGGGGCGTGTTCAGCCATCCTTTTCCTGCAGTCCACGATCAGCTCCTTTGTCTTAATCACGTTGAGGGAGCGGTTGTTGTCCTGGCACCACACTGCCAGGTCTCTGACCTCCTCCCTATAGGCTATCTCATCGTTGTTGGTGATCAGGCCTACCACTATTGTGTCGTCAGCAAACTTAATGATGGTGTTGGAGTCGTGCTTGGCCACGCAGTCGTGGGTGAACAGGGAATACAGGAGGGGACTAAGCATGCACCCCTGAAGGGTCCCCGTGTTGAGGATCAGCGTGGCAGATGTGTTGTTGCCTACCCTTACCACCCGGGGGCGGCCCGTCAGGAAGTCTAGGATCCAGTTGCAGAGGGAGGTGTTTAGTCCCAGGGTCCTTAGCTTAGTGATGAGCTTTGTGGGCACTACGGTGTTGAACGCTGAGCTGTAGTCAATGAACAGCATTCTCACATAGGTGTTCCTTTTGTCCAGGTGGGAAAGGGCATTGTGGAGTGCGATTGAGATTGCGTCCTCTGTGGATCTGTTGAGGCGGTATGCGAATTGGAGTGGGTCTAGGGTTTCCAGGATGATGGTGTTGATGTGCACAATGACCAGCCTTTCAATGCACTTCATGGCTACCGACGTGAGTCATTTAGGCAGGTTACCTTCGCTTTCTTGGGCAGAGGGACTATGGTGGTCTGCTTCAAACATATAGGTATTACAGACTCGGTCAGGGAGAGGTTGAAAATATCAGTGAAGACACTTGCCAGTTGGTCCGCGCATGCTCTGAGTACACATCTTGGTAATCCGTCTGGCCCCGCGGCCATGTGAATGTTGACCTGTTAACAGGTCTTGTTCACATCGGCTACGGAGAGCGTGATCACACAGTCGTCCGGAACAGCTGGTGCGCTCATGCATGCTTCAGTGTTGTTGGCCTCGAAGCGAGCATAAAAGGCATTTAACCCGTCTTGTAGGCTTGCGTCAACTGGCAGCTCGTGGCTGGGTTTCCCTTTGTATTCCATACTAGTTTGCAAGTCTTGACACATCCAATGAGCATTAGAGCCGGTGTAGTAGGATTCAATCTTAGTCCTGTATTGACACTTTGCCTGTTTGATTGTTCGTCTGAAGGCATAGCGGGATTTCTTATAAGCGTCCGGATTAGTGTCCCACTCCTTGAAAGCGGCAGCTCTAGCCTTTAGCTCGGTGCGGATGTTGCCTGTGCGGATATTGCCTGTAGACACAAATAGACTGTTCTGTCCTGCCAATGCACGGAAAACCCAGCCACCTGCATATTATCCATGTCGTCGTTCAGCCACGACTCGGTGAAACATAAGATATTACAGTTTTTAATGTCCCGTTGGTAGGATAGTGTCGAACGGAGCTCATCCAGTTCATTCTCCAGTGATTGCACGTTGGCCAATAGAACGGATGGTAGAGGCGGGTTACCCACTCGCTGATGAATTGTCACAAGGCACCCCGATCTCCGCCCCTTGTACCTCAGTCTTTTCTTCACGCGAATGACGTGGATTTGGGCCTGGTCTCGGAGAAACAGTATATCCTTCGCGTCGGACTCATTAAAGAAAAATCTTTGTCCAGTTCGAGGCGAGCAATCGCTGTTCTGATATCCAGAAGCTCTTTCCGGTCATAAGAGATAGTAGTAGCAACATTATGTACAAAATAAGTTAAAACAATGCGAAAAAACACACCAAATAGTATAGTTGGTTAAGGGCCCATAAAACGGCAGCCATCCCCTCCGGCACCATTTCCTTAAAAAAAAAAAAAAAAAAAGGTTAAGCTTTGGGTTAGGTGAAGGGTTAGTTAAAAGGGGTAAGGTTAGGGTTAGGGGAAGGGGAAGGGTTAGCTAACATGCTAAGTAGTTGCAAAGTAGCTAAAAAGTAGTAAATAGTTAAAAAGTTGCTAATTAGCTCAAATTGTCCGTGATGAGATTCGAACTCGCTACCTTTGGGTTGTTAGACGTTCTCGTTATACGCCCGAACACCCACCCTACTTTCATTTTTTTGCCTTAAGTAACATCTTTCTTATGTAACCATACAAAACGTAACATATCATACTAAATGGAGTGTCTCGGATTTACGTACAGAATAATTCAAAATGCTCTGAGACCAGGTTGGTCACCGCACCCCAATCTCCAAACGCACGCCATAGGACATACATGTGTGGTCACTTTATAATCCATTCAGGAGTCCAGAGGTTAATGTGATAAATATAAAGCATGGATGGCTTTTTGAGCGACAGGCAAGGAAGCGCCAGTGCAGGTGCGAAAGCTCTACGTCTCGTGATGATGAATGATCATCCCACCGAAGACAGTCGCAAGCTAGAAGAGCCCAGTGAAAGATGAATGAGACTTTTGTGAAAAGCTCAGGCTAAAAATACTACCCGGCTGAAAGGACCCAAATGCCCGTCAACAAAATACACCTTGCTCCCTACAGTCAGACTGAGGTTCAAATGAGAAAGTAACATTCACGTTTCATAGTATGGCAGCACCTTATACCATTGCGGTGTTCATTTCGTGGGTTAAGAGATCATTGATTTGTCACAGAAAACTTTTGAGATCCATCGTGTATTTAGTCTGCCTGTCAATCTCACAAGGACTGAGACTAGAGGGTGAAAGAATGAGATAAAAAGTTAAACAATGGGCTACTGAGCCATTGAAGTTAGTTGCTGGCTGTACCTTCCTTTCACGCGCAGGCAATGTGGTTCCCCTCAGGCCAACTAGTTTTCTGATTTGCTGGTCGGTCTACAGTTTGGAAGGAATGAATACTTCACCAGTAGGTAATGACTGTATAGCCTAGGTCTATCTGCTGGCCAAGTAGTTATGATTCTACAGAGATATAATTTGTGAAATGTAAACTGTCATGGGATGAGAAGGCCTTAATTTCAATAGACTTCAGAGAGTCCTACTGTGAAGGCATATATTTGTATAAATTTACCTGCCTCACACGAAACTACAGACCATGCTACACACTTTCGTTTTTTTGAGACCAACGGTCGATGACAAAGTTGTTTTGTTTCACTAGATGTTTAGCCTATAAAATAAGATCCATGACAATATTATAGTCGATTTTGAACACAGTCTGTGTTGTTTCTTAGAAATGCAACCCTGTAGACCAGTGGTTCTCAATCCTGGTCCTGGGGACCCAAAGGGGTGCACGCTTTTGCCATAGCACTACACACCTGACTCAAACCATCAACTCATCATCAGGCTTTGATTATTTGAATCAGGTGTGTAGTGCTAGGGCAAAAACAAAAATGTTTACCCCTTTGGGTCCCTAGGACCAGGATTGTGAACCACTGCTGTAGACACATGTAAGAAAACGTTTTGTTCTATTTTTACCAATGACCAAACTTGAAATATTAACATGATCATCATATAAATGTTAATGGTTGTGATATAAATGCATAATATTCCCTTGGCCTATCGTTGACGGAGAATAAAGTTAAATTTCAACACTCCACCTTACCCTCCCGCCTAGGCAATATCACCAAGCCCCCGTAAACGCTGCTGGAGGGTTTGATCAGCCCCAAAACTTTGTATTCGACCCGGTGGGTGTTTTCCCTCTTAAATTTGATTTGATTAAATTTGACTGGAGAGCGAACAGGAAAGGATCCATCTTCACTGCGGCTCCACCACTAAATAAATTGGAAGGTAAACCGCGGAGGCGAATTAGAAGAATGGCTCTGTGTTATGGATTAAATCACATAAATGAATGCGGGGAGAATACATACATGCTGATAGCTGCCAGGGAGGACTGCTTAGAACAGACAACAGCAATGAGATAAACACAAACTCTTAATTTAAGCTATTTATGGATTAAATTGCACGAAAGCGTTACTATGATGATTTGCCCCATGCTGTCTCTCGCCCTCACAAACAGCTTTTTAAATGATAAATGTTCTCTTGGCTCTCGTTCTACGGGTTCTCGTTCACACCCATACACACTTCTGACCACTACAGTGGCAATGCATTATGGCCCTATAACAACTGGTCTAAGGTTTTACTGTATAGCTTGGTATGGGTAAGGTATGGTCTAGGTAGGGAAGTGCGTTCTGGAATGTTCAATTGAACGAAAACGATGCTGTATTGAATGACCAGTTGAAAAACGGGGAGGGGTTCGGTTGTGGAACGCTGACAGCATGGCCACTGCCCATTAAATACGCCACTCATTGCTTCAAGCCACATCTCGCCACACCCCCCAAACTGGAAAAAACATACCTTCAAAATCTGTTCAAGAACGTACAAAGAACGTTTTGGAAAAACATGTCGTTCAGTACAGACCGTTCCGCAATGTAGCAAATGTCCAAGGAAACTCAACGCACCTCTGTTGTTTGTGCCTTCCGGGCGCCAAGTAACCACTCAGTAAAATAACATTCTATACCACAGAGCATTATGGGTAAACAACAACATTCAGCCCCTGGCGGCATCATGGGAGAAAGTTGGCTGCTTCAAACCTATCCAGCACTCTCAGCTCCTTTGGAGTTGGCCACAGAGAGGCGAGTCTAGACATGAACTCAGTTCTTATTATGCATGCATTAGAAGTGGTCCGGAGGAAATGTTGTTTTGTTATTTACACATTAGAAGGACCTGAATAATATTGCATTGTTGGGATAGGTAAACAAAGATTACTTCTAAAAAGAAGTTTGGAGGAGTCTTATTCTTCCTCTGGTAGCAGCATCTTCCTTCAGATAGATAGAGAGAGAGACAGAGACAGACAGAGAGAGAGAGAGAGAGAGAGAGAGTGCAGGCCGGCTTTGTTTTTTATTTTATTTATTTAGCAGGAAATGACATTTTCCTATTCGCAGCAGCATTAAGGATTCTACATAACAAAAGCAACCATCATTTGTATTTGCAGGGAGCCACCATTGACTATGAAAAGGCACCATTTCTCTCAGAAGGTAGCGGAGGTGACACAGCCGTAATCCCTTCTTACTGAGGAGTATAATGTGGAGAGAAGATAGGCTGAGAGCAAAGAGTAACAGTTTATTTCCTAAACTCACCAACATGACAGTGAAATTCTCACCTTGCCACCGACTTTGTGCCTGACCCAGTTTATATTTACTGTTGTCTGGATTCGCAACTCAGGCTGGATCCTGCAGGAGCTACAAGTCTCAGTCAGTCATAAGTATTCACCACAACAACAGCTTCAAGGTGCCTTTTTGAAATGTCAGCTCTGTTCATTGATTAATAAAAACAAGGTTTGAACAAAAGGTCCTTCTAAAACCCCAGCAGACAACAACAGATATCTACAGACAATGTTCTGGACTCAACTGCTTTTTCACAATGCAATTATAAATAATACCTTCAATAAATAACTGAAAAACAACCCCAAAGCTAAAAAATGAACACATCACAATGAGAAGTATTAATAGCTTTTTGAATCTGTTGGCAGCAGCTAGTAGAATTCCCTCCGGGTACCTCATCATTGACCAGTTTATGACAGCCACTCATCTAAATTGGTAATTTGCATTGGATCAAATCAGTGCAGAGGTTGATTTTCACTTAAGTTATTTCACCTTCTGGCATCTTCCGCACAAATCATGTCGGGTGTACAGATGATTAATGCAATACTTCAACTAAAATGTTGTCTTTTCTCCACTGTCTCTATGGCACACTGGCAGACACCCATGCACAGCTAGGCAGCAACACTCCACACCACAGGGGGCTCCACCCTCATGTCTGCGGGTAGCAAACAGAGGTGCGCAGGCGTCCAAACTTCTGCATGAAGTCCCCCTGGGCGTTTACCAGTGCCTCCTCGTCGATGTAGACTGCCGCCCTCCTGGCTGTGACAAAGTACTGCACCTTCCTCTTGCTCCAGCCCAGGACGTACATGAGAAGACCGCACACGGCCGCGGTGGAGCGCCCAACGCCAGCGTTACAGTGAACGTAGACCGTGTGACCGTTCTCCAGGAGACCGTGCAGCAGGAAGACAGCCTGGGGAAGCATCCTAGTCCGGCCTGCAGGGGGCGACATACAAGGACATGTCAGAGGAGGGCTTTCTGACTAATCTTTACTACTGCTGGATCTTTCCCAGATCCATACAAGGATCCATAGATAAGTGTTTCATGACTGTCTACTTCACTCCTGGTCCTGGAGAGACACAGTTGCAGTCCTGAACATACCCCAGACCCCCCTCTCCTTCCTCACCTTCAGTGCTCATGTCTGGTGTTGGGATCCACACGTACGCCAGGCCACAGTCCCTGTACAGGTGCATCATGGTCTCTGGGGTCATTTCCTGCCCGGGGTCGCGGCGGCAGCCGGACGAGTTGTTGACCACATCCCCCTCCGTCTGAAAGTTCATCACCGCGGTAACACCCAGCTCTTCCTTCAGCTTGAGGGTCACATGTTCCACCTGGCGAGGGCAGCTACCCAGAAACACCCGGGGCAGGACTCTGGAAACAGAGCAGAGGGCACAGTGGGGTGAAGGAGACAAAGAGGACATAGGGGGGTGACAGAGTGGGCTTGATGCTCAGCCATACCCGGTGAAGGACCCTGGTAGCAGATAGGGGGCACAGGGGTTGATGGAGTGGGGTTGAGGGAGTGGGGTTGATGGGATTGAGGGAGTGGGGTTGATGGGGTAGAAAGTGAGGGGCAGGGGGTGTAGTATGGGGAGGTAAGAGAAGCACAGAGGGTTGAGGGGGTGGAATGTGGAAGGGAAGAGATGCCCAGGGGGTGAGAGAGAGCTAAAGGCACTAGTCTGATTCCTGGGGAGAGCGGTGGTATTTTTATACAAACTGTCTCCCAGACAGACCACAGGCAAGTGATCTAAAGCTGTTTTCTCTCAGAAAAGCGATCTCTGTCCTTCATCTCATCGCTCTCTCCCTCTCCTCCTGTCATTTTCCCCGGCGGTGATTGTTCCCTGACCTCCTCCTGTCATTTTCCCCGGCGGTGATTGTTCCCTGACCTCCTCCTGTAATTTTCTGCCCCGTCACTCTGAGCCAGACTCCATTTAGAGCTCATTAGCATGCGTAAAATCAACAGTCAGTGGGAGGAGGTGACACGTAAAAGGATGGACAGCGTCACAGAGTGATGTCCTCGAGTGACACCAAAGATGGTGGATAAATTAAGATAGTTCACTCAGGCTGTTAACCATTGAATGAAAGAAAAGTCAATTCTGGTCTACTTAACTGGGTGTGCCTCCCATAGACACCAATGCAATAGCAACTGGGTCTGGTCTACTTAGTTCATTTACTTTTATTGAACCAGAAAAAAAACACAGAATGGGGTGTCTCGCTTCCTCTTTCGTCTCTGGTGACATCACAGGGATCCATCTAGTTGGGCCAGCAGCTGGTGGCTGGTGCCCACAGACCTCTGGGTATTAATGGAAAACCAGGGCAGTGCCACTCAAAGACAGATGCTGCTGATTTGCTTAAGAGCTCAATGGAGATTATTCAGGAACTTTTGCCTCCACATTAGATTTACAGCTGGTTGTTTTTCTAAGAAAGACTCTCTTTACACCCGGAAACTCTCTGGAGCCCTGCTAAAACCCAGTGGAATTGAGTGATTCAAACTCTCATAGAAATGGGCATATTGATTCAACACAATGGTACAGTGAGTTAGTAGCTCATGTAAACTTCTCGAAAATCCCAAGTGTGTAGTTTTTGTATTTAGTAGCATCTACAGTAGGTTTTCGTGTTTTCCTCACTGTCAGCTTTAAAACATGGTGTAAAGGCTTAACTGGCCCATTTGGTACTAATGAAGGTGTGGGTTGGTGTGAGATCATCTCCTTTCCCACTGGGTAAACTTGGCCAATCAAAGCCCTGGCATGGCAGTAAACAGGAGCTTACAATAGAAACAAACATCTCTAAATCATTGAAATAGCCCAACTGTACAAACATGTAAAGTCCTTGGGAGTCACCTCTGACCGATGCATAGCGGACAATGGTCCTGTAAAGTGCATGAACCTCTCTTTCAGATAAACAATGATTCATGTATTAGAGAATGAGGTGTTTATGATACCAGTGGCTACACTGATACCAGCCTAGAATTCTCATTTTAAAAGCTTACAGTGGGGAAAAAAAGTATTTAGTCAGCCACCAATTGTGCAAGTTCTCCCACTTAAAAAGATGAGAGAGGCCTGTAATTTTCATCATAGGTACACGTCAACTATGACAGACAAAATGAGAAAAAAAATCCAGAAAATCACATTGTAGGATTTTTTATGAATTTATTTGCAAATTATGGTGGAAAATAAGTATTTGGTCAATAACAAAAGTTTCTCAATACTTTGTTATATACCCTTTGTTGGCAATGACACAGGTCAAACGTTTTCTGTAAGTCTTCACAAGGTTTTCACACACTGTTGCTGGTATTTTGGCCCATTCCTCCATGCAGATCTCCTCTAGAGCAGTGATGTTTTAGGGCTGTCGCTGGGCAACACGGACTTTCAACTCCCTCCAAAGATTTTCTATGGGGTTGAGATCTGGAGACTGGCTAGGCCACTCCAAGACCTTGAAATGCTTCTTACGAAGCCACTCCTTCGTTGCCCGGGCGGTGTGTTTGGGATCATTGTCATGCTGAAAGACCCAGCCACGTTTCATCTTCAATGCCCTTGCTGATGGAAGGAGGTTTTCACTCAAAATCTCACGATACATGGCCCCATTCATTCTTTCCTTTACACGGATCAGTCGTCCTGGTCCCTTTGCAGAAAAACAGCCACAAAGCATGATGTTTCCACCCCTATGCTTCACAGTAGGTATGGTGTTCTTTGGATGCAACTCAGCATTCTTTGTCCTCCAAACACGACGAGTTGAGTTTTTACCAAAAAGTTATATTTTGGTTTCATCTGACATTCTCCCAATCCTCTTCTGGATCATCCAAATGCACTCTAGCAAACTTCAGACGGGCCTGGACATGTACTGGCTTAAGCAGGGGGACACGTCTGGCACTGCAGGATTTGAGTCCCTGGCGGCGTAGTGTGTTACTGATGGTAGGCTTTGTTACTTTGGTCCCAGCTCTCTACAGGTCATTCACTAGGTCCCCCCGTGTGGTTCTGGGATTTTTGCTCACCGTTCTTGTGATCATTTTGACCCCACGGGGTGAGATCTTGCGTGGAGCCCCAGATCGAGGGAGATTATCAGTGGTCTTGTATGTCTTCCATTTCCTAATAATTGCTCCCACAGTTGATTTCTTCAAACCAAGCTGCTTACCTATTGCAGATTCAGTCTTCCCAGCCTGGTGCAGGTCTACAATTGTGTTTCTGGTGTCCTTTGACAGCTCTTTGGTCTTGGCCATAGTGGAGTTTGGAGTGTGACTGTTTGAGGTTGTGGACAGGTGTATTTTATACTGATAACAAGTTCAAACAGGTGCCATTAATACAGGTAACGAGTGTAGGACAGAGGAGCCTCTTAAAGAAGAAGTTACAGGTCTGTGAGAGCCAGAAATCTTGCTTGTTTGTAGGTGACCAAATACTTATTTTCCACCATAATTTGCAAATAAATTCATTAAAAAATCCTACAATGTGATTTTCTGGATTTTTTTCTCTCAATTTGTCTGTCATAGTTGACGTGTACCTATGATGAAAATTACAGGCCTCTCTCAACTTTTTAAGTGGGAGAACTTGCACAATTGGTGGCTGACTAAATACTTTTTTCCCCCACTGTATTTGCCTCCTGCAGCACAGAGGTCGTTGACAAAAGCTTGTAAGGTCTTGGGCCACAAATTACAAATTAAAACCAGCTGGACCTGGCCAGTGGCCACCCTCTCTCTCATTTTCATGCAAGGTGTGTGTCCAGAGCTTCAGGGAGACCAGGCTAATTTCTGCTGTGTCCTGCAGCTCACCTCAGTGCAGGTTGTGTGTGTGACCTGAGCAAAGAGGCCAAATGTGTGTGTGAGTGTGTGTGTATTTGCTACTGTAATGGGTCTCTGTCATTTATTTCACCCATAATTAGCAAAGTCAAAGAATCACACATCCAGTATCAAAATTGACTGCTCAACTCTATTTCCAATCGGAACATTGAATGACTGCATTGAATACAACCTCTCAATCTGCTGTTAGTAAATTACTTAATTTAGTGCCACTGAACCGTTATGACACACAGCCAAATGAAATGACTCGCCATCTCTCTCACAGTTTGTGAAGAGAAGGAGGGGGAAAAAATAAGAAAAGAAAATGATGATGATGACAGTGTGGCTGTCACATTGCAAAGGATTATCATCAGTGACCTCCTCTAGGCTTTGCCCTCCTCTTTACAAAAATCAATTTAAGGTCTTTAACACTTTTCATATTTCGTTACTCTAATGGATTTAGTGAGCTATCGCTAACGAAATGAGCCATCTATGAGGTACCCAGAGGACATACAGTGGAGAGAACAAGTATTTGATACACTGCTGATTTTGCAGGTTTTCCTACTTACAAAGCATGTAGAGGTCTGTAATTTTTATCATAGGTACACTTCAACTGTGAGAGACGGAATCTAAAACAAAAATCCAGAAAATCACATTGTATGATTTTTAAGTAATTAATTTGCATTTTATTGCATGACATAAGTATTTGATCACCTACCAACCAGTAAGAATTCCGGCTCTCACAGACCTGTTAGTTTTTCTTTAAGAAGCCCTCCTGTTCTCCACTCATTACCTGTATTAACTGCACCTGTTTGAACTCGTTACCTGTATAAAAGACACCTGTCCACACACTCAATCAAACAGACTCCAACCTCTCCACAATGGCCAAGACCAGAGAGCTGTGTAAGGACATCAGGGATAAAATTGTAGACCTGCACAAGGCTGGTATGGGCTACAGGACAATAGGCAAGCAGCTTGGTGAGAAGGCAACAACTGTTGGCGCAATTATTAGAAAATGGAAGAAGTTCAAGATGATGGTCAATCACCCTCGGTCTGGGGCTCCATGCAAGATCTCACCTCGTGGGGCATCAATGATCATGAGGAAGGTGAGGGATCAGCCCAGAACTACACGGCAGGACCTGATCAATGACCTGAAGAGAGCTGGGACCACAGTCTCAAAGAAAACCATTAGTAACACACTACGCCGTCATGGATTAAAATCCTGCAGCGCACGCAAGGTCCCCCTGCTCAAGCCAGCGCATGTCCAGGCCCGTCTAAAGTTTGCCAATGACCATCTGGATGATCCAGAGGAGGAATGGGAGAAGGTCATGTGGTCTGATGCGTTTTTGGTCTAAACTCCACTCGCCGTGTTTGGAGGAAGAAGAAGTATGAGTACAACCCCAAGAACACCATCCCAACCGTGAAGCATGGAGGTGGAAACATCATTCTTTGGGGATGCTTTTCTGCAAAGGGGACAGGACGACTGCACCGTATTGAGGGGAGGATGGATGGGGCCATGTATCGCGAGATCTTGGCCAACAACCTCCTTCCCTCAGTAAGAGAATTGAAGATGGGTCGTGGCTGGGTCTTCCAGCATGACAACGACCCGAAACACACAGCCAGGGCAACTAAGGAGTGGCTCCGTAAGAAGCATCTCAAGGTCCTGGAGTGGCCTAGCCAGTCTCCAGACCTGAACCCAATAGAAAATCTTTGGAGGGAGCTGAAAGTCCGTATTGCCCAGCGACAGCCCCGAAACCTGAAGGATCTGGAGAAGGTATGTATGGAGGATTGGGCCAAAATCCCTGCTGCAGTGTGTACAAACCTGGTCAAGACCTACAGGAAACGTATGATCTCTGTAATTGCAAACAAAGGTTTCTGTACCAAATATTAAGTTATGTTTTTCTGATGTATCAAATACTTATGTCATGCAATAAAATGCAAATTAATTACTTAAAAATCATACAATGTGATTTTCTGGATTTTTGTTTTAGATTCCGTCTCTCACAGTTGAAGTGTACCTATGATAAAAATTACAGACCTCTACATGCTTTGTAAGTAGGAAAACCTGCAAAATCGGCAGTGTATCAAATACTTGTTCTCCCCACTGTAACTAAATATTGAACACCCCTCCATCTCTCCAACAAGTGAAAAGGGAAGGTTGTGGGGTTGATGCGATACAACCACTAATGGTTTAACTTCTGAAGAGCCCTTGAATGCGTTGTCCCACTGAATTAATTGCTGAGTGCCTCACAAAACCCAGTTCCCATAGTAATTAAAATTGTGTGTGAGAGAGCAAAGCTTAAAGAGGAAGGAGGAGAGTAATCATGGCTGGCTGTCGCTGCTTGGAGATTGAAGAGGGTGAAACATCACACTCATGACCTGAGGATGTGGTAGGAGGAGCTATTCACCTCGGGATCAAATACAGGTAACTGCCAAAATAAAGGAAACGCCTAAATAAAGGAAACACCAACATAAAGTGTCTTAGTACGGTGTTGGGGCACAACGAGCTGCCAGAACAGCTTCATTGCGCCTTAGCATATATTCAACAAGTGTCTGGAACTCTATTGAAGGGATGCAGCACCATTCTTCCAAGATAAATTCCATAATTTGGTGTTTTGTTGATGGTGGTGGAAAACACTGTCTCAGGCACCGCTATAGAATCTCCCAGAAGTGTTCATTTGGGCTGAGATCTGGTGACTGAGACACACACACACACACACACACACACACACACACACACACACACTTTAAACCCCCTATGATCCTTTGAGACTCCTCTCAAAGTCACTGAGATCTCTTCTTCTAGCCATGATACCCGGAATAATGGGCAACTGGGCATTTTTATACATGACCCTAAGCATGATGGGATGTTAACTGCTTAATTAACTCAGGAACCACACCTGTGTGGAAGGGAAGCACCTGCTTTCAATATACTTTGTATCCCTCATTTACTCAAGTGTTCCCTTTATTTTGGCTGTTATCTGTACATCAGTGATACTGCACTGTGCTGAAGTTACGGGGAGCACATTTTTGGGAACATTAAGTTAATAGTCATAAATTATTCCAAGACAAAATAATACTAAGACAAAATGAAACCTGCATGTTAATGAAAGAAGCCCTTTTGCTTTGAAAGGGGCAACTCAATTGGCAAAATGTGGAAGAGAGGTCCTTCAATAGCGCCATTAAAAAAGCTGTCCCACTTACCAGGGAAACACACCCCCTCAGGGGAACTCATTAACTTTTACAGCATTATCAAATTATGTACACACCAGTTTTCACATCACAAAAGGCAGGCAAACAATAACTTACGACAAGCCTCTCATTTCATTACTGGGTGAAGGGGTGCTGTAGTCAAACTCACTAGGATACAAGTCTGTCTCTGGTGTTTGCTGGGAGGCACAGCTATCCACTGATGCCTCAAAGAAAAGAAGGAGGAAAGTGATTATTTGAATAATGCAAATAGCCAACTATCTCCCACACGTGGGATGGCTACAGACAACCTCAAACACTCATGAGTGTTGCAAAGGAGTGATGCAACCTGTGGGAAGAAAATGGGGTCAGGTATTATGTTACCTGTTGAAATGCATGGCCTGCTGGCCGGCCACGCCAAAGTAGAAGTCAGTCGTGTGCTTCATCTCGTCCGTATGACCCGTCTCCTCGATCCAGTGGCTAATAGGGTGGCAGTACACCCCGTCCACCAGGTTGCTCTGGTCGTACACACAACATCTGTCATGGTGGGCACCGTTGCCTGGGAACAAATCAAATGAAGCATTTTTGGATTAAAGGCAAAGATTATCTATTATATTGACAAGATAGAGTGGTCACTTGGCTAACAATGGAAATACATGTACTCAATGATTGAAGGCAGGCGAGATCAGGTGGGACCATTCTAGCCAATGAGACGTCTGCACAACTAAGTTGTTTTTCTCAAAGTTGCCGGAATACCACGTGCATCCACTTATATCAGTACATTTGTAACAGCCTAAACATTACGAAACTTCTATTAGATCAAATAAGCCTCACGTAATTCAACACTCTCATAGACCTCCATACAAAAACGTGCTTATATCACAAAGACAGATTTTGGGCGGCGTAAATGACTAAAATGTAAATGTAATGTGTGGTGGGAGGTAATAGGCCTTCAAGTAGGCGTACAACACCAAATAAAGAAACAGTTATTTATAAAGTTATTAGTCCTATTCACTGTTAATCCAATCATTTGCAAATATGCCTAGAGGACTTTGAGTTAGGCTTCATGGAAACAATTCACATGCTTATTTCCAATTATTATATTTATCAAGAAGATATAGCAGGAGCCGGGGGCTGATCTACTGGTAGTGCTGCCGCGCGGACCACTTATGCAACGGTTAGATCCCCTGTTCCACCACCGCGCACCACCCCTTCTGTCAGAAACGAAGTGCCAAACCCCTGAGCCTGTGCAATTCAAAGACGTGCCTTTGCCGCCATCACGTGGTTGAATAGCTTATTACAGTTGAAAGAGAGGTAGAATAATGAATACTCAACTTGTAGCCAGCCATCTAAGCTATACCTTGGTGAAATGTGTTTTATATTGGATATTCGGTTTTCTCTCGTCAATAGCTATTTAACCAAGCATGCCATGACTATGGAGATGGTATATTCTGAATCAGGGGTGGATGGAGAACAATCCACACCTAAAGATAAAAATATATACACTACCGTTCAAAAGTTTGGGGTCACTTAGAAATGTCCTTGTTTTCGAAAGAAAAGCAATTTTTATCTTAGGGCTTGATGGTTTTTGCAACTGCACCCGAAGAAACTTTAAAAGTTCTTGAAATTGTCCGTATTGACTGACCTTCATGTCTTAAAGTAATGATGGACCGCTGTTTCTCTTTGCTTATTTGAGCTGGGAAGGTACGGGATGAAGCCAAGGAGGCGTGGCAGGGCAACTGGGATTCCTTATCTGGTCAGGGGGGAGAGAGCGACCGGGCGGGAGCCAGATCTAACCAGACCCCCATCCTGAGTCCAGTCAACGAGCTCCAGAGGGAGCAGTTACGCCAGGTGTTTCAGGAGTCATGGAGAGAGAGCACCTGGAGGGGGTTTGGCACGGAGTCATCCGACCCCGACCAGGAGTGCCCCCTCCCTCGCCCCAGCACGCACAACTTCACCCTGTCGGAAGAGCTAATGGACCAATTCGGAACCGCCCAACACCAGGACCCCGACCATCGCCAGGCTATGCTGAAGGTGAAGAAGATAGATGGGAGGAGTATCGGCTCGGAAGGTGAGTTAACCACTCCTTATTACGCCATCAAGCGGAGTATCTTATACTGGGTGGCCCAATGTAGAGCGGTAGAACAGGAACTGGTAATGGTGCCCCGTTCATACAGGGATGTTGTGTTACACATGGCCCATACACATGTACTAGGGGGCCAACTACCCAGGTTGAAGACCACCGAACGGTTGCTGGGGCGTTTCTATTAGCCGAGGATTACCCAAGATGTTGCTAAGTATTGCAAATCTTGTTACATCTGCCAACGCACTGCTCCCAAGTGAACATACCATAACCCTCTTATCCCTCTCCCAATTATAGAGACCCCGTTTGAGTGCATAGCCATGGACCTGGTGGGACCCCTGCCACGTTCGGCGCACAGACATGAGTACATCTTGGTTGTGGTGGCCTATGCAAGTTCCCAGAGGCTATTCCCTTGAGGTCGATGGCAACGAAAGCCATAGCAAAATAACTGTATCTCATGTTCTCCCAAGTGGGACTCCCGGCCACGCCGTTCATGTCCAGACTGATGAAGGACCTGTGTCAGTTATACCGGGTCAAACAAATAAGGACCAGTGTGTATCACCCCCAGACGGATGGGCTGAATAAAACCAGGGTGGTGGACCGGGACAGGAAGAATTGGGATATGTTGTTGCCCCACCTCATGTTCGCGCTCCGGGAGGTCCCCCAGGCGTCCACTGGCTTCTCGCCTTTCGAGCTACTCTATGGGTGGCCCTGTCACAGCATCCTTGACTTGGCCAAGGAGGCCTGGGAGAACCAACCCTGCCTGTACCGTTCCTTCATCGAACACGTCACATTCATGAAGGACCGAATGGCAGTGATATGGCCGGTTGTGTGGGAACACATGGCCAAAGCACAGGGAACCCAAGCCCGGGCGTACAATAGAACGGCCCAACCGCGACAGTTCTGCCCAGGAGATAAGATACTCCTCCTCGTCCCCACACCGGAACTCAGGCTCCTGGCTCAGTGGCAGAGCCCACATGTGAAAGAGCAAGTCTCATCGGTCAACTACAGGGTGAGTCAGCCAGGACGACGGCGCCCTCAGCAGATATACCACATCAACCTGTTGAAAGCCTATGTGGAATGAGAGGCACAAGTGCTGATGGGACTTAAAGCAGATGAAGAGGAACATCCACCAGAAAAGGTGCCTTTTGGCATCACTCTTACAGCTCAGCAGACGCAAGACCTTGAAAAGGTTGTCCTACAGAACCAACGGGTCTTCTCCCCCCTTCCGGGGCAGACCTCCTTGCTCTGTCCTCGCATAGCCACGGAGCCAGGGAATAAGGTACATCTCTGACCATACAGGGTACCAGAGGCATGCCGGGAGATGGCACGGAAAGAGGTGAGGGAGATGTTGAAGATGGGGGTCGTCGAGCCGTCCACCAGCGAATGGTCCAGCTCTATCGCGCTTCTGCAATGATTTCAGAGCCATCAATGCCATCTCCAGATTCGACGCCTACCCCATGCCGAGGGTCGATGAGCTGATCGAGCGGTTTGGGAAAGCCCGCTATATATCGACCCTCAACCTCACCAAGGGGTACTGGCAGGTGCCTCTGGCCCCCGAAGACTGCCACAAAACCGCCTTTGCCACCCCGGATGGGCTATTTCAGTACGTCCGCCTCCCCTTTGGCTTGCACGGAGCGGCCGCCACCTTCCAGAGGTTTATGGACATGCTGTTACGTCCTCACTAGTCCTTCGCCGCCGCCTATATTGATGACATGGTAATACACAGCGAGGACTGGGGAGGAACACCTCCGCCAGCTGCGCTCCATGCTGGCCAGCCTGGAGGCGGCCGGCCTGACAGCCAACCTGAAGAAGTGCCGCCTGGGACTGAACGAGGTTGAATACCTCGGCTACACCATTGGCAGCGGTCTGATCAAACCCCAGGCATCTCATATGTATATACTGTATTCTATACTACTCTACTGTATCTTAGTCCATGCACTCTAACATCGCTTGTCCATATATGTATATATTCTTAATTCATTCCTTACTTAGATTTGTGTGTATTGGGTATACGTTGTGAAATTGTTAGATATTACTTGTTAGATATTAGTGCACTGTCGGAGCTAGAAGCACAAGCATTTCGCTACACACACAATAACATCTGCTAAACACGTGTATGTGACCAATAAAATTTGATTTGGAGAATACCAGGGCCATCCGGGAGTGGCCGCGGCCCACGGACAAGAAGGGGGTCCGCTCGTTCCTGGGCCTAACGGGTTATTACAGGCGGTTCATCCCAAGCTGCGCCGCTATCGCCACCCCACTGACCAACATGACAAAGAAGAGGAACCCAGTGAGGATGGTATGGACATCTGAAGACGAGGGGGCGTTCTTCCACCTCAAAGACACGCTGTGCTCGGAGCCGGTGTTGAGAGCCCCAGATTTCCAGCAGCCTTTCACCGTCCACCCCAGCACTGGCTTGGGGGCTGTCCTGTTTCAAGGGGACAGGGCGGAGGAACGTCCCATCCTATACATAAGCCGCAAGCTGTCCGACAGGGAGAGGAAGTACATGACGATAGAGAGGGAGGCACAGGCAATTAAGTGACCCCTGGAACACCTGAGGTACTATCTCCTAAGGAGGCGATTTCGGCTGGTCACAGATCATGCGCCCCTTCAGTGGATGGCGGGTAAGGGAGACACAAACAGCCGAATAACAAGATGGTTCCTGTTGCTCCAACCATTTCATTTCCAGGTGGTTCATCGATCGGGGAGAGCACACGGCAATGCAGACACGCTATCCCGTCGAGACCCCCGATACAGAATATATCATTTTCATAGTCATGGCACGCTTTGTGTACGAGCTATTGAAGATTGAAATCCGAAATCGTATTATTATTATTGTTATTATTATATATTTTTCTGTGTGGATTGTTTTCCAGCCACCCGATTCAGAATATACCATCATCATAGGCATTGCAGGCTTGGTTTAGAGGTCTGCGCTGACATGAGGTCGAAGGAATTGTCCGTAGAGCTCCGAGACAGGATTGTGTCGAGGCAAAGATCTGGGGAAGGGTACCAAAAAAAGTCTGCAGCATTGAAGGTCCACAAGAACACAGTGGCCTCGGGGGAGAAGGGACTTGGTCAGGGAGGTGACCAAGAACCCGATGGTCGCTCTGACAGAGCTCCAGAGTTCCTCTGTGGAGATGGGAGAACCTTCAAGGAGGACAATCATCTCTGCAGCACTCCACCAATCAGGCCTTTATGGTAGAGTGGCCAGATGGAAGCCACTCCTCAGTAAAAGGCACATGACAGCCCGCTTGGAGTTTGCCAAAAGGCACCTAAAGGACTCTCAGACCATGAGAAACAAGATGAACGGAGCAAAGTACAGAGAGATCCTTGATGAAAACCTGCTCCAGAGCACTCAGGACCTCAGATTGGGGCGAAGGTTCACCTTCCAACAGGACAACGACCCTAAGCACACAGCCAAGACAACACAGGAGTGGCTTCAGGACAAGTCTCTGAATGTCCTTGAGTGGCCCAGCCAAAACCCGATCTAACATCTCTGGAGAGACCTGAAAATAGCTGTGCAGCGACGCTCCCCATCCAACCTGACAGAGCTTGAGAGGATCTGCAGCGAAGAATGGGAGAATCTCCCCAAATACAGGTGTGCCAAGCTTGTAGCGTCATACCCAAGAAGACTTGAGGCTGTAATTGCTGCCAAAGGTGCTTCAACAAAGTACTGAGTAATGGGTCTGAATACTTGTGTAAATGTGATATTTCAGTTTTTGATACATTTGCAAAAATGTCTAAAAACCAGTTTTTGCTTTGCCATTATGGGGTATTGTGTGAAGATTGAGGGGGGAAAAAAACAATTTAATCGATTTTAGAATAAGGCTGCAACGTAACAAAATGTGGAAAAAGTCAAGGGGTCTGAATACTCTCCGAATGCACCCCCTGGTTCGATTCCAGGCTGTATCACAAACAGCCGTGATTGGGAGTCCATAGGGCAGCGCACAATTGGCCCAGCGTCGTCCGGGTTTGGCCGGTGTAGGCCGTTATTGTAAATAAGAATTTGTTCTTAACTGACTTGCCTAGTTAAATAAAGGTAAAAAAATATATAAAATAATAATAATAATAATAATAATATCTGTATTACTGGGCTATATCAGCCAATATGCTAGATGTAGTTTAAAGAGAGCAGAGTTGGAGAGACTTGCACTTTCTCAAGCTATTTTTATATTTTCAGACGGAGAAATATGGGTGATCAATATTTATTTATAGGCAATGTAGTAAACTATAGCCTAATCATATTTAGGAAGTACATTTTCATCTCCACCCATGTATAGGCTATAGCCTGCTCTATTTAATTGAGATCACATGCGCACCTGATCTCGCAGGTATGGCTACTAACATGAATCAGCAAGAATGATGATAGTGACTCTTGCTACGTTTTGCATATCGGATATAGCCTACCTTTTAGCAGGACAATTTGCAGGCAGAGACAAATAAATAAGTAATCAATACTTATTGAAAATGAAAAGGCGCAACGCCCGCTCACCATAGTAGCCTAACCTATGTGCGCATTGTGCCTTTTCCTTTTCAGTGATAAAACATTTTGATTGCACTTCAACTCACATTGGTTGAGCGCCCGCCACTTCTTTCCATGATCAATATTTATTTAAAGACACTGTAGTAAACTACAGTCTAATCATATTTACGTTAATTGCCACGTGATTCCCCGCTCATGTAGGCAGCCTACTCTATTTCAATGAGACCACACATAGGCCTACTAGGCAGACTTGAACTCGCACCCCCAACTAGGAGAGGCTGCTGAAGTTGAAGCAGCGAATTCTGTGTGTGTGAATAATGCAAAAAATATGTACTTTTAATACAATAGGTAGGTTTAGGCTAACGCCTACAAAGCAGAAAGTCAACAGTTTCCAAATAATCTGTGGGACAACAAAAATATTTTCATCCCAAAATCCTCACTTACCACCCACAGCCGACTGAGTTGCAATGATCTCTGTCAAGACCCGCAGGTCCGCGGGCATCCTGCAGGAATGCAGCCCTCTAGCTTTGTTCAATAGCTATTGACGAGAGAAAACCGAATTCCAGGGCATATCCAATATAACACACATTTTACCTAGGTCTAGGTAAATGGCATGGAAACAGATGGAAATAGTTCAGCATTGAGCCTGGCCTACAGTTGCCTAAGTAATTAGACTATAACAAGCAGGTGTGTTGGCTATAAACCCAATAACTGACTAAATTTAAACTATGTATTTATTTCATAATACCTTCCCAGATGAAATTGCCCCCCACTCGTTTGATGAACTTCAACCACAGGCTCTCTTGGCATGGTTCTGCCAGGTGCACTTCGGCGATCCAGAGGCAAGGCTCGCGCATGGACAAAACCACCTGCGTTCGTTTCATCAGAACCGCATTGTTTGGGTCCCAGTGACCCATCTCCGGACGGGACCCTAACACAAACACCTCTACGTCCGGGCACTCCGGAGTGAGAATGACGCCGAACCTGTATAACATCACCCTAAATAAACTAAAAGGTCACTTCGAGATACAATATTGACGCGGTTTAGTAGCCTGCTAGGCTAGATCGCGGTGCTTTCATAGATCACTCCCTTTGCGATAAAGGCTGCACAGCCATGCCATTGCATACAGTAGACTACACACTGGAAACTATCTTTACTTGACATGACCACCGTGTTCAATTTGGGGTAGGCTATCATGTTCATTTGCCCTAAAAATAAACCTAGTTTGGAGAAAAAAAACAGCTGGGACTATCTACAGTGTCTGGGCGAGGACAATTTTCCTTGGTGCGCTGTGTCATGTAAAAATCCACCCCATATATAATCGATAACTATTATCAGAAATCACGCGATATGGATCTGACAGTGGAGTGCCTGCTGACCCACTAGTTGGTCAGAAGGTTCAAATCAACGTTTCATATCAAAATTAACGAGTAGGCAAAAGTATCAACCACCGCTGTTATTACACCCCGTATACGTTCGTGGCGGTAATGAGCATTTTTATTGTGCTGTAACTAAAACTAGAAGAAGATCTTCTGACGTCCTTTCACTTCGTCAATTTACAAAGCTAATGTAAGAATTTTAGTGTTGTTACCCCTGGATAGCCCGCGAATATGACCCATAGTAAGGGAGAATATTTATTGAGTGCAATATAATACATTTAAAAGGATTTGCAATTTTGCATTAGCAGTCTGTTCGGTTTAAATTTCCCGGGAACCATGGCATTGTGTCATTTCCTATTTTTGGTGCTAAATTGCGTCTAATTTATTTTGCTGCGTCTCATGTCTCTGTCTCTTAAATCTCCATACTTTTACCGAAGTGTGCACTAGTACACTTCGGTACTAGCACACTTGATAGTGTAGTTTCAAATCTGCAGCTACTGTAGTCTGTTGTTCAACAACTTTGTGTTTGTCTGTCTTAGTCAGGGCAGTTCATCCCATGTGTCCCGGTGGGCCTAAGATGGGAGTGGAGGAGACAAGATGACCATGACTGTCATAGTCAGTACAACCGTCTTCTGACTGTTGTTGACGTTAGAGGTAGGCCTTATATCAAAATGGTAAACTAAGACATCTGGCTCCTTTACCGTCTTGCAAACTGTATCAGAGCATCAAGTGTAGCAGCACCATGCTCAGAGACAGTTTCTCCCTGTTGATGAAAACTGAACTGACTCTTTGTTACTATGGCACCTACTGCACTCTACTTAATATACTGTAGTTATCTACTTATGTCATTGTATTGTGCACACTACGCTGTATTCCGCTCAAATGACAACTTTGGTTTTGATTTCATTTTATCTAGTTTACCATAACCCTGTTCACTCTGTTGTTATGATGAAAATATGGTGTCATTTTGATAGTTCTTAAGAGACATGCATCTCACCAACATCGGATGTAATGTTTAGCAATGCAATCTAAGAAACGGAATGTCCTCATTTCAGGAAGAGCTCATGACATCAGCCCCAAACAGCAATTTCAGTGGACCTGCAGCTGGAGTGTGAGGTGTCTTTGAGTGGGATTACCTTGGCTTTCGATAAATCCAATGCATGCTGGAAGGTAGTTATTTTATTTTAAATTGGAAATCAAACCATACATGTAAGTGTTTTTTACTATGAGGAGGAGTAGTCTCCAGACAGTTGAGCTCTACCGGAAGCTCACAAGTGAGTATTTTGAGGAGTTCAAACACTGGCAGTTTGAATGACAGACTGTCAGGAAGTTGCCGCCACTGACATCGGACGGAACAAAGTGTCCTCTCTGTCCACAGGTATGTCAATGATAACAATTAAGGAACAACTATAAAGTCTCAGTAAGCTAGGATTCTTATTTGAATTCAGTGTTGTTAATAATTTATAAGGGGAAATATATCCAACCTCAGTTGTCTTTCTTATATACAGTACCAGACTCCTCCATTTGCAGCAATTACAGCCTTGCAGACCTTTGGCATTCTAGTTGTCAATTTGTTGAGGTAATCTGAAGAGATTTCACCCCATGCTTCCTGAAGCACCTCCCACAAGTTGGATTGGCTTGATGGGCACTTCTTACATACCATACAGTCAAGCTGCTCCCACAACAGCTCAATAGGGTTGAGGTCCGGTGACTGTGCTGGCCACTCCATTATAGACAGAATACCAGCTGACTGCTTCTTCCCTAAATAGTTATTGCATAGTTTGGAGCTGTGCTTTGGGTCATTGTCCTGTTGTAGGAGGAAATTGGCTCCAATCAAGCGCCGTCCACAGGGCGTTGCAAAATGGAGTGATAGCCTTCCTTCTTCAAGATCCCTTTTACCCTGTACACATTTCCCACTTTACCACCACCAAAGCACCCTCAGACCATCACATTGCCTCCACCATGCTTGACAGATGGCATCAAGCACTCCTCCAGCATCTTTTCATTTGGTCTGCGTCTCACAAATGTTCTTCTTTGTGATCCGAACGCCTCAAACTTCGATTTGTCTGTCCATAACACTTTTTTCCAATCTTCCTCTGTCCAGTGTCTGTGTTCTTTTGCCCATCTTAATCTTTTCTTTTTATTGGCCAGTCTGAGATATGGCTTTTTCTTTGCAACTCTGCCTAGAAGGTCAGCATTCCGGAGTCGCCTCTTCACTGTTGACGTTGAGACTGGTGTTTTGCGGGTACTATTTAATGAAGCTGCCAGTTGAGGACCTGTGAGGCGTCTGTTTCTCAAACTATACATTCTAATGTATTTGTCCTCTTGCTCAGTTGTGCACCGGGGCCTCCCATTCCTCTTTCTATTCTGGTTAGAGCCAGTTTGCGCTGTTCTGTGAAGGGAGTAGTACACAGCGTTGTACGAGATCTTCAGTTTCTTGGCAATTTCTCGCTTGGAATAGCCTTCATTTCTCAGAACAAGAATAGACTGACGAGTTTCAGAAGAAAGTTATTTGTTTCTGGCCATTTTGAGCCTGTAATCGAACCCACAATTGCTGATGCTCCAGATACTCAACTAGTCTCAAGAAGGCCAGTTTAATTGCTTCTTTAATCAGCAGAACAGTTTTCAGCTATGCTAACATAATTGCAAAAGGGTTTTCTAATGATCAATTAGCCTTTTAAAATGATAAACTTGGATTAGCAAACACAACGTGCCATTGGAACACAGGACTGATGGTTGCTGATAATGGACCTCTGTACGCCTATGTAGATATTCCATAAAAAATCAGCCGGTTCCAGCTACAATAACCATTTACAACATTAACAATGTCTACACTGATCTATTTAATTTTATTTTAATGGACAAAAAAATTGCTTTTCTTTCGGAAACAAGGACATTTCTAAGTGACCACAAACTTTTGAACGGTAGTGTTTATATACATTATTATTCTTTTATTTTTTTTAGCTCTGCCCCACCTACCCTGAAGGAAGGGTCGTCACTGATCCACATACTTCTCTTCAGGTTCAGGAACTTCGGCGGATGCTCGTGCCTGCACGCCATCCCAAACACACCAGTTATGTCCAGTTTCTGGGATTTGGATCGCAGTGCATCCCCGGCTTGAAATCCCCAATGGAAGGAACAATGATCCTCCAGTAACAGGAAATGTGCATTTTTATGTGGATAATAATAAATTGACATTTCTGTCGAGGGTTGATCAATTTCAGAAGCCATTTCAAAACTCAAAAACACTACAAGTTAAAAATGTCCTGCATTGCAGAAAAGTTGTTCTGCAACAGAGTGATCAAATTAAGATCCTACATCTGTATGCTTGGGGTTAAATGACCAAAGTTATTTTTAAATCTCCAATTTGGACTCATCAGACCAAAGGACAATTTTCCAACAGTCTAATGTCCATTGCTCGTGTTTCTTGGCCCAAGAAAGTCTCTTCCTATTATTGGTGTCCTTTAGTAGTGGTTTCTTTGCATCAATTCGACCATGAAGGCCTGATTCACGCATTCTCCTCTGAACAGTTGATGTTGAGATGTGTCTGTTACTTGAACTCTGTGAAGCATTAATTTGGGCTGCAGTTTCTGAGGCTGGTAACTCTAATGAACTTATCCTGTGCAGCAGAGGTAACTCTGGGTCTTCCTTTTCTGTGGCGGTCCTCATGAGAGCCAGTTTCATCATAGCGCTTGATGGTTTTTGCGACTGCACTTGAAGAAACTTTCAAAGTTCTTGAAATGTTCCGTATTGACTGACCTTCATGTCTTAAAGTAATGATGGGCTGTAATTTCTCTTTGCTTATTTGAGCTGTTCTTGCCATAATACGGACTTGGTCTTTTACCAAATAGGGCTATCTTCAGTATACCACCCCTAACTTGTCACAACACAACTGATTGGCTCAAATGCATTAAGAAGGAAAGAAATTCCACAAATTAACTTTTAACAAGGCACACCTGTTAATTGAAATGCATTCCAGGTGACTACCCCATGAAGCTGGTTGAGAGAATGCCAAGAGTGTGCACAGCTGTCATCAAGGCAAAGGGTGGCTACTTTGAAGAATCTCAAATATAAAATATATTTTGATTTGTTTAACATTATTCTACAATGTAAAAAATAGTAAAAATTAAGAAAAACCCTTGAAAGAGTAGGTCTGTCCAAACTTTTGACTGGTAGTGTATGACACATCATAGGACATTCAACACTATACTTAAATACAACATAAATATCACAGGACATTCAACACTTCGCTTAAATACAACATAGATATCACAGGACATTCAACACTTCACTTAAATACAACATAAATATCACAGGATATTCAACACTTCACTTAAATACAACATAGATATCACAGGACATACTTCACAAGACAAGGTAAGACAGATAAATAAATAGATGTACAGTGAGGGAAAAAAAGTATTTGATCCCCTGCTGATTTTGTACGTTTGCCCACTGACAAAGAAATGATCAGTCTATAATTTTAATAGTAGGTTTATTTGAACAGTGAGAGACAGAATAACAACAACAAAATCCAGAAAAACGAATGTCAAAAATGTTATAAATTGATTTGCATTTTAATGAGGGAAATAAGTAGACTGCTCAAAAAAATTAA